GTTTTTTTTACGAAAATATTTTTGAATTTTATTGGCTTGTTTGTTTTTTGTCGTTACTCCTGCCATTTTCACAATTTATTACACGATTTGAGTGAGTGCCAAAACCGAACAAATTGAACATTCAATCGCTCTTTCAAAAATGCCAAACCACGAAAAATTACAACATTTAAAAAAGCAAATTTTAGATAAAATCAATGATTTAACCGGATTATTTATTGTTTCCGAACCTATTTTTGATTCCTTTAATATCAAAGAAATTTTAGTCAAAATTGAAGATTCAATATTTTTACAAAAGGACGGCGAAAGATTATTAAAAACTTTAATTGATCAACATTCCCTTTTAACTCGTCCTCGTTTGAATTTGAATTATGAAATAACTCCCTTTATTCCTGTTGATAACAATATTCCCAATCCTCATGCAAATACTCGCGATATGCGTAATTCTTTTCTTGACTTACAAACTTGATATGCTAATTATTTAGTTCCATTGGAAGAAGCCCCATCTCAATTCTCTTTTTCCATTGAAACAACAACTCTTGCCTCCTTTGCTCGTGTTTTTCCCGATCGAACATTTACTTTGAATTCAGAGGGAGAGATTGATACGGCGGAAGAGATTTTTGTTGATTTGATTAGTCATCTTGTGCCCTCATCGAACCCGGATTATACAAATTGATTTGCTCGTTTTTCCTGAACCAACAATTCATCAATTTATCAAGTCGCCTGATCGTTAATTTTCTTTTGAAAAAATTATCACGATGACGGAAAGATTGGAGAGTATAAAAAGTTCATGCGCGATTTATTTTTTTCTTCAAACGAATCCACCGGTCTTTTTGGATTTTTAAGGGGCATGTCTTTCGCCGAGAATACGGATTGACCGATTAATGATGAGTTGATGACTCCGCTTGAAGCCGCGAAAAAAGTACAATATCGGCGCTCATTTTACGAAAAATTATTTGTTTCCCGAGACGAATTTCGATCTTATTGAGAAGAAATTTCAAGTCATGCCAATTCACCATGACGAAATGGAGATTCAAAAGCCGCAAACACGCCGTGACCTCTTTTGGATCGTTCAATGACTTCAATTGAAATTGAAGCGAAATTAAATTATCAAATGGAATTATTAAAAACACAGTTAAAAGCGGAGTTTCAAACTCTTGAAGGAACGATTGATGGTGATTTAACAACCGCCGCAACTTCATGACCAATCGATGATTCAACTTTGAGTTTAGAAGAAGCAAGAGCGAAAGTGGCCCATCGCCGTTGAGTTCAAGAACAAATCATTGTTAATCAACGATTAACCGCCTTAGAAGAATTACTTACTTCATGATTTGCTGATCTTTATACGGAATCGCCCGTTGTATCGTTTGAAGATAGTGAGGACTATTCCAATTCCTATCGGTCCACGGCGAATATTGATTCAGCAACCGAGACTCCAACGGCCGTACGAGCGAATCAGCCTCGAATTGCCGTTCCGTCCCCTTATGCTCGAGTATATTCAATTGAAATTGGAAATTTACCCGAAAGTTTCGCTGATGCACCATATACAAAAGATGGAAAAAGATATCTCTCGGGAGTTGAATTATTTATTGATGAACTTGGTTTCGTGAAAAAAATAAGAGTTTATAGTATTTACAATTTTTGACGAGATTATTTCTGAGCAGATGGAACTTCATCATACGGGGCCGACAAAGTATTGAATGGAGTTAATTTGAATGTCTTGGAGGAAAGTGATTTACAGACTTTAAAAACACACATTCAAGACAAACAAGGAGTATTTTATTATTACTATACGCAAGACAATCTTTCTCTTGCATAGTTAGTCATAAATTAGTAAATGGTAAAATATATAGTCAATAATGGTAAATTTACCGAGTTTGCATATTTCGTTAATTAATAAAACTAAACTGGAAGTCCTTAATGTTCTTCAGGGAATTTCTCGGTATATTTCGGCTATTCATATTGAAGATAATCTATTAACACACGAAGGAATTGACATTCTTTCCTTTCTTCGCAAACGATATCCCAAAAAGACAATCATTTTAGATTTGTCGCAAAAACTTACTTTAACGGAAGAAATAAAAAATTGAATTCGGCGAGATCCGATTAAAAACTACATTTTAAATAGTCATTTGCCTGCGGCGGAACTGATTAAGTTTATGAGATTTTTACGTTCTTATCAAAAAACAATTATTTTACGCGGAACCAAATTTCCGCTTTCTTTATTAAAAAAATATAAAGTGGCAAATCTTTTTTATTTTCAACCATTAACAAATAAAAATAGAACTTGAAAATTAGAAGAAATAGACTATATGAAAAACATTTTGAAGCAAAAATTTAATTTGTGAGTCGGGGATGTCAGTCGTATAAATATTCCCGATTTACAAAAATTACCGATTGAAAGTTTTGTCTTTAGCCGAGAAATTTGTTATTCTTTTAATCCGATTGAAACCAGTAAACAAATTTTTATTGTTATCAAAAATGAATATGCCCCGCACGAAGATGTTTCCGTTTAAATTGTGAGTTGATTAAAATCTACCGTTTTTCCGATTATTTTTCGTCCTTATTATCGGTCTAATTTATTTTTTTATCGTCCTTTTTCAAAAAATGTCAAATTTTCCGTTTTTTCGATTTTAATCAGTGGTTTTTTATGCACTTATCTCTTCGGATATACATTAATTTATCAAATTTTAAATCATTTTGGATACAGTACTTTTTTTGGGATTGAACAAAAATATTTTTTTTTAATTACTTTGAGTTTTGTTGTCTTTATTTATTGTCTTATCGCTGCTTTTGAACGTAAAGCAAAGTATTTTATGCGAATGTCACCCATTTTAATTTGAACTTTTATTTTAATCGTGAGCCGCTTAAATATTTTTTATCAACCAACGGTGACCAGTTATGGTTCGATTTCCGATGTGGCGACCAACACTCAACTTTATTTATATTTATTTCGCACTATGGTCATCATCATAAAAATAATTTTGGTGATTTTATTTTTTCTCGGTCTGAATCGAAATTTTGGCCGGGCCGCGATACGACCTCGCAAAATTAACTCTTATTTTTTTCCGTTGATGGTTTTGTTTGCTATTTTTTTATACTTTGCTACCAAGGAGCTGACTTTTTTTTCTCCTTCGGTAATCAATAGTTTGCCGCATGTTTCCGTGAATCAGCAAACATTGGTTGATTTTTGAAAAAGTGCTCCGCTCGCCTTTAAGCCATTTTTTTATTTTGAGATTGTTCTTTTAGCTCCCTTTCTCGAAGAAATTGTTTTTCGTTATCTAGTCGCGGTGCTTTTCTTTTATTCTTCCCTTGATTATTTTATTGCGGTCACCGTTTGATTTGGACTCGCCCATGTGAATTTGTCCGATGTACTTGACGAACAGAATCAATTTGATTTTGCAAAATTTTTGAATAATTGTCTCGTTTATTTTAAAGCCGGATTTCTTTACGGCTTTATTTATTGATTTTCGGGTCATCAAATCGGATATACAATTCTCTTTCATGCGAATCATAATTTAGTATCTACCTTGCCCTGATTTCTTTAATTTTTATTCAAAAGAGTTAAAATTTTTTTCGTATTTGTTCGTTATATAATCATATGAATAAAGATTCAGAATTAAAAAATGAGTAATTGATTTACGCAAGATCTCAACGGAAAACGGATATTTGCGCTGAGTATTTTTCTTTCCGAAAAACAAAATCAATTTTTTGGTCATTTTCGGCGCATTCAAATTCCCTGATTTGTTATTGTAATCGGTGTGGTTCTTTTAACTCTGAGTTCGGGAGTTGGTTTTTATAGTGGTTTGTTAAATTCATTCGCCTTTCAAATGGTAATGTTGTTTGTGGGATTAGTAATGATTAGTCTGTTTGGATTTTTAGTTTATTTTTATCGTTATCAAAAGTCATATGTTTATTTTTTACCGCTATGCTTACTCGGCATTCGATGATTATTTTTTATATTTATCAATACCGGATTAACCTCTAATTCTTTCTTTACCATTCCCATTGATTCATTTAATTTTCTTTTTAATTCGGATTTCAAGGAAAACTTGGTTTTGTCGCAACTGTCCGTACTGAAGCAAAAACAAAGCATGGTATTAAATTTTTTATTAGATTTAATTTCGATGAGTTTTGTGATTCTTTTTTTTCTTTTGAATCGTGAGTACTGAAAGCGAATTATTCGGAATTTTGCTCGGCGTCCGGTTTTATTTTTCGGTTTTATTCTGATTTTTCTGACGAGCATTCTATTTATTTATTACGACGGTTTACCCAACAAAACTGATTCCGAACAATCTCAAAATCAACAAGCTCTTCTTGACTTGTACTCATCAAGTTCACATTGAGGTCGCTTTTTCTTTTTTTTAAAAGTTGTTCTCATTGCTCCGCTTTGAGAGGAAATTATTTATCGTTATTTACCGGGAACTTTTTTTGATCAAAATGAGCACTTTTTGTTTCTCATTTTTTTCGGCACGATTTGATTTGCCGGAAGTCACATAAAGATTGAGTGAAATGATAGCGATGTTTCCATCTGAAAACAAATTTTTTCCGCAAAAACTCTCCCTTACTTTCTGAGTGGATTTTTCTATATTTGAATTTATTGATCAACGGCTTATTCCTTACCCTATACAATGGCGGCTCATTCGCTGAATAATATTGCGGTCTTTACTCATACCTTTCCGTTATTTCCGTTTTCGGCAATGTTACTAAACTTTTTGTAATGAATGAAAAAAAAATAAAAGCGAGCGAAAGAATTCGCCAACTCAAAATCAAAATTCGTCAATGAAATCGAGAATATTATTTTGAGCAACGGCCGACTGTTTCCGATGCCGTTTATGATGCTCATTATCGTGAGTTGGAACGATTAGAACAAAAACATCCCGAGTTAATTGAAGCCACTTCACCAACTCAAGTGATTGGTTATTGAGAAGCCGGAGTTTTGCCTAAAGTTGTGCACTCAAAGAAATTATTATCGTTAAAAAATGCTTTTTCCTGAAACGAAGTGCAAAATTTTGCCGAACGCGTGAAGAAGATTACCGGAGGACAACATAGTTACTTGGCGGAGGTTAAAATTGACGGTTTATCGCTGAGTTTAGTTTTTCGCAATCATCGTTTTTTATATGCCGCCACACGAGGAAATGGAGAAATAGGCGAAAATGTAACGGATAACGTTTTAGCGATTCAAAGTTTAAAAAATTTACGTCGGCAAAAATTTCCCGTTAAAAATTTTGAACTTCGCGGAGAAGTTTATCTCACTCAAAAAAATTTTCAAATCTTGAATCAAAAAATTCAAGATGCTCAAACTGTAGAATTTCACAACTATTGTCGAGAGATTTTTCTTAAATTCAATCAACAATTAAAATGAGTGGAAATTGACAAATCTCGCTCATCATCGCCAAAAGTTTTTGCTTGAGGAATTCGTTTTGACAAAACTCCGCATTCGATTCGTCGTAACGAAAAAGAAGTGAGTTTTAAAATTTTGTGTGTAGGACCCAAATCGGAAAATTATTTATCGCGATTGCAACAATGAAAAAATAGAATCAAAGAAATTCAAGGTTTTCAGTCAATAACGGCAACAAAATTTTATCTTTTATTTAATTTGCGATTTAAACAAATGCTTTTTTCCAATCCGCGAAATTTAGCTTCCGGAAGTTTGCGTCAATTGAATGCCAAAATTACGGAAAAACGAAATTTAAGCGTTCTTTTTTATGATTTAATTGGATCCGAATATGCAAATTTTACGCAAAGTGAAAAAATACAAATAATTCAAAAACTGGGATTTTCAATCGCCACCGAAAGTCAAGTTTGTACTTCTCTCGCCGAAGTTTCTCAATATATTCGTCAAATAGAAAAAATATATTCTCAACTGCCGTATCCCAGCGATGGAGTTGTGATTAAAGTGAATCAATCACAATATCACAAAAAGCTCGGTTTCAGCGAAAAATTTCCGAATTATGCTTTGGCTTTTAAATTTACGGAAAAAATGGTCGAAACTCGAATTCGAAATATTTTTCCCACCGTCGGAAGAACCGGCAAAATTACATACAACGCAACTTTGGATAAAGTTTTTTTAGATGGTAGTATGATCGGCGCGGCAACTCTTCATAATGCCGATTATATTCAAAAATTAGATATTCGTTTAGGCGATATGGTGATGATTAAAAAAGCCGGAAATGTAATTCCCAAGATTGTGAAAGTGAATCAAAAATTTCGACTTTCGAAAACAATTCGCTGACATCCCGCAACTCATTGTCCTTTTTGTCATTCAGAATTAAAACAAACTCCGCCCAAAGTCGATCAATATTGTTTGAATTCCGCCTGTGAAGAACAGCAAATTCGTCGTTTAAGTCACTTTGTGAGTTCCGAAGCTCTGAATATATTTGGCATGAGTGAATCATTAATACGTTACTTTTGAAAGTGAAATTTAATTCGCCAACCCCTTGATTTTTTTTCTTTGGAACAAAAAAAAGATCAATTACTTCAACTCGCAAAGAATCATTCACTGCCGTCGTTGGGACCGCGTTCAATTCATAAATTACTTCACTCAATTCAGCAAAGTTTGCGGGCACCCTGATTTCGCATTCTCGTCGCGATGAGCATTCCTCACATTGGGCGGGCTTCGGCTCGTCTTTTAAGTCAAAAATTTCCCACTGCCGAACGCTTACTTCAAGCAAATGCGGAAGAAATACAAGAAATTCCGGGAATTGGTCCGGAAGTTGCACATAGTATTCAAAAATTTTTTACTTGCGCGCCCAATGTANATCACTTTGGAAAAGCATTCGCTTCTTCCTTCGCATTCGGGAAAAAATAAAATTACTTCTCTTTTACAAAATAAAAATATTGTCATTACGGGATCTTTTTCCGTTTCTCGAAAAATATTAACGGAACGTTTGGAAATTCATGGAGCACGAGTAACAAAGCAAATCACGTTGCACACAAATTGACTTCTCGTGGGGGAAAAACCCGGCCGCAAAGTGGAAGAAGCAAAAAAAAAGGGAGTTGAAATTATTTTTATTCCTAATCTTCAATATCCTTTTTTAGAGAAAATGATACAACCATAATTTAGAGTTGGGTAAAATTAAGAAAAGAAAAAGAATATTTTCGTTATGAAAAAAAAATTTTATTTTCCTCCAATTGATCTCGCGGTGATTGATCGTTTAGCAAAAAGATGTCAAATTAATTTAACCTATACCGATAAAATGCGAATTATGACCGAAATTAATGAGGTTATATTACCGCGTTTACAAGTTTTTAATGAATTTTCACAAACTTTAAAAAAAAGATATTATCCGCATTTTCAAGAAACCGTTCATTTTCGTAAGGATCAAGCGATGAATGCTTCGCCGCCTTTTTTTCAAAAAAATATTCAGTTAAATAAAGACAATTATTTTGTCGTAGTAAAGAAAAATGATTAATCACTCTTCATCGAAAAAATCGCTTTCTCCTTCCGCCTCTATTTCTCGTTTAAAATCGTATTTATCATCTAATTATGAACATTTTCGTCTTTTTTATCGAACCTTATTGATGCATTTAAATTCTCCTCAAATTCAACAAAAAAAATATTTTACGGAAATTTACTTTCAAGAAATTGAAAAAAAAATTGAAGATCCGACTTTTTGAGAACAGAATCGTCATAAAAAATTGTTCGCCATTCCGTTTTCGCTTAAAGATAATTTTTTAGTGCAGAATCAAAAAACCGAAGGTGGAAGTTATATTTTAAAGAATTTTTATCCCGATTTTGATGCGCGAGTTCTCACATTATTGAAAAATTCCGGAGCGATTTTAATTGGTAAAAATACGATGGATGAATTAGGTTTAGGGGGAACGGGACTTTATGCCAAAGAAGGAGAAATTTGTAATCCGCACAATTCCGCTCATATTATCGGTGGTTCTTCTTCCGGTTCAGCGGGTGCGGTTACGGAAAATTTAGTAAATTTTGCTCTTGCCAGTGATACTGGGGATTCCGCTCGAATTGTTGCTTCTTATTGTGGCATTGTTGGTTTTAAGCCATCATTCGGAATGATTTCCCGCCACGGATTAATTCCCTATGCCCCCTCTCTCGACACGGTGGGGTTATTAACTCAGAAGGCGGAAAATCTCCTTTTTTTAACGGAAATTCTCTATCAATACGATGAAAATGATGGTGCTTCGCAAAAACCGACGAATTTACAACCGGCTCAGTTACCTCCGGTAAAAAAAATTCATATTGGTTATTTTCAGGTGAATAAAGAATGAATTGATGAAAAAACGAAAACTATTTTTTCTCGAAAAGTCATCAAAAAATTAAAATCAACCGGTTATATAGTAAAAAAAATTAAATTCGATTCCAAATTAATTCGGGCCTTAAATTTAATTTATCAAATTTTAAGTTACCCCGAAGCAATTAGTAGTCAAGCAAATTTAACCGGAATTAACTTTGGTACCGGTGTGACTCGCGAAAATCTTTCTTTTCAAGAACAAATTATTCAGAATCGTTCCGCGGGATTCGGAACCGAAATTAAACGACGTTATATTATTGGAGCTTTGTTTACGGAACGTCTCGGATATGATTTTTTTGTTCAAGCCCAAAAAATTCGGGATTACTTACGTTTATTTTTTGCACATTATTGAAAAGAATATGATTTTATTTTACATCCCGCGACATATACTACGGCTCGGCCCATTTCCGTGATTAAGCAGGAAATCAAAGATCCGCAAAAACGACTGCCGATGATTAATGATTATTTATTAATTGGTAATTTTATCGGCATTCCATCTTTAGTTTTACCCTATGCAAATTATCGACAACTACCACTTGGAATCAATATTTATGCGCCCATTCAACACGATTTGAGACTATTAAAATTGGGAGAAGATTTAGCTCAAATTTTCAATTATTCTTTTCCTTTTCTTGAAAATCATGCAAATTAAAATTGGCTTAGAATTACATATTCGTTTAAAAACAATTTCAAAACTTTTTTCTTCGGCCGCCAATCAAATTCACGCTCCGCCGAATCAACGAACTACGAGTTATGATTGAGCCTATCCTGGTAGTTTGCCGGTCATTAATCGCCGCGCTGTTGCTTTGGGATTGCGAGCCACGGCATTAATGAAAGCGAAATCCCCTGATTCTTTAACTTTTGATCGCAAAAATTATTATTATTTTGATCTTCCTAAAGGCTATCAAATCACTCAAAGTCGAAAACCGATTGGTACCGGAGGTTCTTTTTCGCTTGTTTTGCCAAATCAAAAAGTGAAAAAAATTAAAATTTTGTTTTTGGCTTTAGAAGAGGACACGGGAAAAACCAACTATCACGGACAAGAAATTTGATTGGATTACAATCGAGTAGGAGTTCCGTTAATTGAATTAACCACCGCTCCCGTTTTTACTCAAGGAAAAGAAGTTCGATGTTTTTTGGAAACTCTTTGTGCTCTTTTTCGCCAAGCTAAAATTAGTGATTGTCAATTTGAATGAGGTTCAATTCGAGTTGATGTGAATTTATCGGTTACCGATAAACTTTCTCATCAAGCTCATCCTTTGACGGAAATTAAAAATCTCAATTCCATCGCCAATATTGAAAAAGCCATTCTTTTAGAAATTCAGGAACAGACTCAACACTTACATTCTTCAAAACCCTTGCCCTCTTTTTCCTGAACGAAAAAATTCGATGAAAAAAAACAAATCTTAAAACCCATTCGTCCCAAGCTAACTTTTTATGATTATTTTTTTATTCCGGAGGGCAATTTATTACCATTTTTTATTCCCGTCAAAATGTTGACCAAAGAACGAGCAAAGGGCGATGATGTGCGAAATTTATATGATGAACAAGTAAGGCAAAATGGATTATTATATACTGATTATATTGCGATTTTTTCGGTTTCGATCGCGCGAAAAATTTTTCTTTTTTTACAAAATAAAGGCATTTCTCAGGCAATAAGACTTTTATTTTTACGAGAATTAATTATCGGGAAAGTCAAAAGAAATGCCGTGCAGGCTCGTCATTTTCCGCTTATCTTACAACTTTTACAAGCCTATGCGGCTCAACGAATTAATTTTCAACTGGTCAAGAAATGATTTAACTATATTTTGCAAGAAGAAAAACTCAATTTAAATCAATTAATTGCCGAAGAAACAAAACGCATGAAAGTTTATTCCTCTCAAAATATACAAAAAATGATTCTTCAATTTTTGCACGAAGACGCAAAAATTCAACAACGTTATCGAGTCAAACCCGATGCAACAATTAAATATTTAATGGGATTACTGATGCGTAAAACTCAAGGTCAGCTTTCTCCCGCAATTGCTATTGCTCAAATTAAAAAAGTTTTAAAAACTCAAAAAAAAACTAACAACCAAAAATAGACTTGACTTTTTTGAGAGTATTTTTGTCGGTCAACAATTTAATTTTGTCGCCTTCGTTAATTATTGTTTCGGAATTGGCGAAGTTTTGTTTTTCTGGTTTTTCTTTGGTTGAGACGAGTAAAATGTGAATATTATTTTCTATGAGTTTGAGTTCACGAAGATTTTTTCCTTTAATTTTATGATTAATCAGAGAAACTATAACCTTATCTTCTTCAATCATCAATACTTCTAAGCGATATGTCAAATTGTAGGCGATATATTCAGTAATTAATTCGTAGGGCAAAATAATATTTTTTTCCGGAACACCAATGGCCTTTAAAATTCTCTTATGTTGTGTGTTTACGGCTCGAACATAAATATTTTGATTACCGGTATCCATTAATTTTTGACAAACAATAATGGAATTGCCAATATTTTCGCCTAGTGAGACGATGACTCCATCATCCTTATCAATATCAAGTTGACTAATGATTTGATCTTGAGTAACATCGTAATTATATAAATCAAAGTTTTCGTCTTTAAACTGCATTAGACGACTTTCGCGGCTATCTACTAATTGTAAATTTATGTTGCCGTTCTTTTTAATTTTTTCAATTAGATTTAATCCAAAATTACCTAATCCAAAAACTCAAATCTTTTTTAACTTATTTGTCATTCGTAATATGTATAATAACAAAAATAAAAAAATTTTGGTTTTTTTTCCTTATTTTTTTTTCTTTTAAATAACTATGAAAATGAATTTAAATGAAATTTTTCGAATTCTGAAAAAACATTTTTTTCAGGGTTGGCATTATTTGTTCAATCGAATTTATATTCGCGTTTTTTTTACTTATTTGGTGTTTCTCGCTCTTTTTATGATTTTGTTGAGTTTGCCCGGAATTTGAGTGGAGCCAAAGAAACATGGTTGACAATGATTAGATAGTTTTTATTTGGCGACTTCGGCCTTTACCAATACCGGATTGCATGTTCGTCATATTGGCCGCGAAATGACACTTTGAGGACAATTCATTATTTTTCTTTTGATGATTATGGGTGGACTCGGATTATTATTTTTTAAAATCTTTTTCATTCAAACCTTACGATGAATTTTTCGTTTAAATATTTCCACCAAAGTTTTTCAAGAGCAACGTTTTGAACGTGGAGGAGATTTGGAAATTAAAAAAATTCGGCGTATGTTAAAAGTCAGTTTTGGATTTTTGCTTTTGATTCAGTTAGTGGGCTTTATTCTTTTGTTTTGTGTCTTTTATTTTGATTCTCCGCCGATTTTGAAAAATCAGATGGGGAATGAACGATTGGGAAAAAGTCTCTGATACGGACTTTTTCATTCTGTTTCCGCGACCAATAATGCCGGATTTGATGTCATTCCGGTCGGTCATTCATTGTCGGTTTTTAGTGATAGTTGAGCGATGCAAACGATTTTTATTATTCAGTTTGTTTTGGGCGGATTAGGTTTTTTTGTCTTTTTGGATTTTTGAGATTGAATCAAGTCAAAGTTTCACAAACTGCCCTTTCAGTTTTCTTTTTTTACTCGTTTTTCTCTTTTTTCCTATTCTTTTATTGCCATTATTGGCATCTCGCTCATTTTTTTGTCGGAAGGATTGGACAAAAGTCATTTATCCGTCACCGAAACGGGAGGGGAATTTGCTTCCCGCGTTATTTTCAATACTCTTTCCTGTCGTTCGGCGGGTTATTCAACGGTTGATATCGGTAATTCTTTTACCGATTTATCGCAATTGATTATGATTATCTTAATGTGAATCGGAACATCTCCGTTATCTACCGGCGGAGGAGTGAAAACAATTGTTTTTATGATTTTAATTCATAGTCTTTATGCTCCGCGAGACGAAAAAAATAATATTATTATTACTCGTATTCATCGTTCTTTTGAACAAAATACCGTTTATGCCAGTATGGCGAGTTCGTTTCTCTCAATTGTCTTAATTTTTGGTGGTGTTTTTCTTTCGATGCTTTTGAAAAACTTTACGACTTCGAATTCTATTTTCAATGAACGAAATAGTCTGGTCGCCAATTTGTTTTATTTCACTTCAGCGATTGGCAATGTCGGATTAAGCACCATTTCCGTGACCGACCAACCGCTTTGAGTGACATTTAAACTTTATACAATTTTTCTGATGATAATTGGTCAAATTGGTGTCGGAGCTCTCTTTTCGTATCGACAACGCTCATTACAACGAAATTACACGGCCTTTCCGTTGCAAACTCCGATTTAATTTTTTATTGAAAAAATTGATGGTGGACACTACAGGATTCGAACCTGTGACTTTCTGGTTAAGAGCCAGATACTCTACCAACTGAGTTAAGTGTCCGGTGATTTGCATATTTTAAAAAATTTGAGTCTCAATTTCTACTCTCTCATGGATCTTACTTCATGAATTGTCACCGTAAATTGAACTTCTTTTCCGGCTAATTCGGGTTTTGAGTAATCATCCGGAAAATTTAAATTTAATTGAATCGGTTCAATGCCTGCTTGAGCTCCGATAAGTCCATCTTCAAATCCGGCAATGAATTCATTACTACCAATGACTAACTCTTTTTCCGTTGCACTACCACCGTCAAAAGTTTCTCATTCTTGTGTTTCTGTGTTTTGAATTTTTCCTTCATAGTCAATCAGGACGGTGTCTCCATTTTGAATCGGACGATTGACCACTCTCATTCCTCAAATAGAAACTTGTGGTTTGGGAAAAGGATTGAGTTTTTTGATTCAAAAAGCTCCTCCTCCGAAAATTGCAATTAAAAAAATTAACATTAATCCGAGAATTAAAAGATTTTTTCGATTATTTTGCAATTTTTGTTTTCAATGAGCAAAGCGCATTTAGCTAAATCAGTTTTTCAATAACTTGTTGTCATTTTACCATTATTCAATTGATATCGCTTTTAATGAAAATTGAAAAACATTGAATTTGAAAATTTTTTCGCATTGTCTCAATGTTTTTTCTCTTTTTTTTGGAAAAATTATTTTTAGGTAATTTATTTTATTTTTTTTTCTGTATAATTGGTTACAAATTAAACAAAAAAAACATTCCAAAAAGAAAAAAAAGATATATAATTTCTTAGACTTTTCAATTATTATAAAAAAGAATTTTTATGAAAAAGATCATTTGAAACAAATTTTTAGTGCCTCGAATTTGACGTTTTGCCACTATTTTGTTCGGCTTTATGCTCTTAATTTTCTTTTTCGGTTTTCTTCAATCGAATTCAAATTCATCCCGCTCGCTTGATGTAAGTCATCAAACTTTAATCAATGAAAACATTGCCAACGCGGATCGAGATGGGCAACCCGAGTATCAAAATGGATATCATGTTTCTTTTCCGACTTTTAAATACACTTTAGGCAACGATTTAGCCGAAAATTTACGATATGCACGTTTAGGACATTGATATGCTCGATACGGAGCGGATTACAATATGAGAGCTGAATTACACTTATACTATGGAGACTATGAGCAAACGAGTTACGGAAATTTTAATGAAACCGATTGAAGCACCTATTATGCAAGTTGTTCCTGAACGGGTCGAGCGACCGTTTGTCAAAGTTATACCGACATTGATTGAAAATTTACCGTTTATCAATTTCGGCTATGATTATTAGAAAAAGTAAGAGCCTTACAAGCGGCCGACGATACTCGCTGACCGGGAATGAATACCGCTTATTTACGCTTACAGTATATTGTTGACGAATGAAATAACAATTCCGCCTATTCCGCTCGCCGAGCCATTATTTCTCAATATCAAACTTATCAAAGTTCCGTTTCGGACAATCCGTATACTTATTCTTTTCCGCTCGGATTAAGTACAAACAGTTTTTTACCCAATGGAAATATGAAATCAGCTCAAGAGATTTGAAGTCAAACTGTCGATCCGGTTTTGACATGAGCTCAAGTTGAAGCGATTCAAACTTGAACGGAAGATACCGCCGCAAATGGTTGAGTAAGGCAAATGACAAACGATCTCTCTTCTCTTTTGCCGACCGATTTGCCGACCGATAATTCCTTAAATACCGCGATTGAAGCCTGAAATAATAATATTTCTCCGATTCATCGTCAAGAAATTTCGAATTATCTCAACTTACCCGAAGAATTAAAAAATTTTTTAGCTTTCAATGAGAATTTAAATTTTTGAAATCTTTTGTCTCTCAATGAAAATTTATTTACTTCCAATGGTCATTTAAAATCGATTCAAGATTCCGTTTATTTGGACTATACAGTCGAAGAAAAAGCACTTTTAGCGACGCACATTAATTCTTTGATTGAAAACAGTCCCCGTCTTCTTTATCGGCAGGCGATTTTGAATTATTGAAATAATGATAGCGATGAAAATACCGAAGGTATTCAACGAAATGCGGAACCCACATATCTTTATTGATATTCGCAACTACCTTTACCGTTTGAGAATCAACAAAGAGTATTAAATTTACCGCATGAAGCCGGAATTTCATATTCTGATTTTGTTACGAGTAATCCGCTTGAGGAAAATAATTTTTTTTCTTTAAATAATGATGCGAATATTCTTTCTACAATTCGGGAAATAGCTTATTTTTCCGCCTGAATTGAAGGTTTAACGCTCAATAGTATGCGTAATAATCCAAACTTTAATGCAAATTATCAAACTTCTCTTTTTGACAATTTAGTGAATCTTCTCGAAGATGATTGAAATACTTCGGCGGCATTAACGAATTTACGAATTGCTTTTGGTGAACTTGCAAGTCTTAGTTCGCTTCCTTCTTTGCTTCCTCAATTTGAGAGCATTACATATACTTATAATTTCGCCTCTTCACCATTTACTCTAACCTTTAATTTAGATTTTAATGCGGCGCATTTTGAATCGACAACCGGAGAATTAACGATTGCGGGCAAAACCACTATTTTCGAAAATGAAGCAAATTCCCCTTCAGTTTCTTTGCCTTCATCGAATTTGAACGATCATTGACAATTTTTTTCTTTATCTCTTTTTGCCCGATGAGCACGATTAAACTCTCAAAATTTAGCTCTTTCGCTGATTGATAACTATGCCAATCGCATTACCAACGACTGAAATCAAACGATAATGGCGAATAAACGAGAACAAATGGGAATTTACCGTTCAATTCAGGAAAATAATTTTTATTCATCTTTAGCTTTTACTTCTCTTAATTTTCCCTTTATTCCGTCTCATCTTGCCGAAAACTTTCTTTTTTCGCAGAATGGGAATCTCGTTAATTTGAATGAAATTGCCAACACTCTTGCCCAATTAAGTCAACTTCAATATTTTTTGGAAGACATTGATTTCTTTATTCAGTCTCTTTTGGAAAAATATGTTCATGCGATGACGAACTATTGAAATTCCGAAACCGAGAAAGTTTCGGCTCTAGCCCATTATTTAATTAGTCCATCAAGAAATGAAGCCTTTCTTTCGTGACCGACTTTTCTTTCGCCGAGTAGTTTCGAAGAAGATGGAACAATTACCGAATCCAGTCTGCTTCATTTTTCGCTAAGGAATTTATATGAAATTAATGCCTGAATGCATTCGTTTGAATTAATTGAGCAATTAACGCTCAAATTAATGAGCGGAAACATTGATTGAACCCAAGTAACAACTTTATTTAACACAATTAATGAACTTCCAGTAGCGGAAAGAAATAATTACCTAGAAAATTATCGTTTTGCTTTAATTCAAGCCTGAAACAATCCGCCTTCTTTTCTCGAACTCAATAATTTACCGCAATTGATGAAAGATTATTTTTTTATTTCCGAACACATTCCCTTTCGATCATCTTATTTCACCGCTTTATCCTTTCCGCTCGCCTTACAAACGGCCACAAGTTTAGAAAATGCTTTTATTTTGCAAACCGGTAAATTAAAAGCGAATGCCCTTCAGGGAAATGATTTTAATAATATTCAAAAATTATTTCAGTTTCAAAATTGAGCCGAAACGCTCCTCTCTCCCGTGAGTGAGGGCGATTCCCGTTCGCAAATTCAATTTCATCGTGCAAAATTTTTTGCCGCTTATCAAAGTTGATTTATTTATTCCTGAAATAATTCATCGTTATATGCGGAGCAACGCGAAGCCTGAGCAAATTATGCATCTTTGCCCGTTTCTCAACAAACCTATCAGTTTCCCGGACATATAAAACTCAATTCTTTCAACTTCAATTCCGACGGGACCCTAAACAATTTAAATTTGACAACCAATCTCGAAGATATATTTATTCTCGCCAACTGAATGATTCATTTTTTGAATTCTCAGGAATTCACTTTTCGTTCCGAATCTTCACTCAATGTTTCATTAGATTCCTGTGAAAATTTGCTCGAATGTGTGCAAAAAAATTGAATTAACGAATGAAATAACGTTTATTTAACTCATCATTTGCCTTTTCGCTATTATTTTGCTTTGCCCGATTACTTACGTCCTCGTCATTATCCAGCGGCTTTTTTCACGATTCCGAGTTTGAATTTAGATGTTTCTGCTTTTGTTCAAATAAGTGATTTTGCTTCGTCCGGTAAAATTCGCAACAAAAATGTTTTTGCGAATGTTGAAAATGAAAATACTTTTGCGGAAATTATCGGCCCCTGAATGATGAATTTTTCCTATTCCACACATGCGAATGTTTTTTTAAGAACTTTGCGCAACTCAATCATTACCAATTGAAATAATGTTCATTTTAATTCACGCAAAAAACTTGCAATTGCTACTTATTTCGCGAATGCGAATTCAACTCTCTATACTGGCTATCCAGCCGCTTTTAAATTGCCTTCCGGATTATTCATGACTAGTTTTGCATCCGACGGTAGCTTACGAGCAAACGGATTAGACAATGTTCAAACTTGAAATGAATTGTGAGCAATTGGGGAATGATTAAAGGATTTGAATTTGGAAATTCCCTGATTAAATAAGAATGATCGTTTAGTCAGTCCCACGGTGATTCTTCAAAATGAATTAATTAATCTTTTTCAGGCTTGAAATAATAATTCTCAGTATCGACAAACTATGAAATGATATAAACATCTCGGCAGTGAAGCTTTCTTAGTTACCGATTTTGCTTTTCCGTACGGTCTTTCTCTTTCCGATTTTGATGATTCTGGCTATATGATCTCGATTTCCGGATTGGCGGAATTTGTTTGATTTGCGAATCCTCCATCTTCGCGAAACGTCAATTCCACAACTGCGATTCAGTTTGTGAGTTGAGAAAATTTTAATTTGACTCATTCGGCATCGCAATGAGATGTTTTTTTTGCTCATTTAAAAGAAATTTTCTTCTGAATTAATAATTTTTCTTCGCCTCAACATTCGCGTTTACTTTTGAATTCTCATCGTAATACTTTAGTGCAAG